ACCATAAGAGTGCCTTGGGTATACCAAACGTCACAACGTAACTGGGTGACTATAAAGGTGCATTACAGGTATCTCCGAAAGTAGCTGTTGGGTTGACACGGATCGAGACTGGGATTTGTCACTCCGTATGACGGAGAGGTATCTCTGGGCCCACTCGGTAATGCATCATCATATTGAGCTCAATGTGACCAAGGTGTTGGACACGGGATCATGCATTACGGTACGAGTAAAGTGACTTGCCGGAAACGAGACTGAACAAGGTATTGGGATACCGACGATCGAGTCTCGGGCAAGTAACGTACCGATTGACAAAGGGAATTGCATACAGGGTTTGATTGAATCCTCGACATAGTGGTTCATCCGATGACAACATCGAGGAGCATGTGGGAGCCATCATGGGTATCCAGATCCCGCTGATGGTTATTGACTGAGAGAGTCTCGGTCATGTCTGCATGTCTCCCGAACCCGTAGGGTCTACACACTTAAGGTTCAGTTACGCTAGGGTTATAGGGATATGTATATGCAGTAACCCGAATGTTGTTCGGAGTCCCGGATGAGATCCCGGACGTCACGAGGAGTTCCGGAATGGTCCGGAGGTAAAGATTTATATATGGGAAGTCCTGTTTCGGGCATCGGGACAAGTTTCGGGGTTATCGGTATTGTACCGGGACCACCGGAAGGGTCCCGGGGGTCCACCGGGTGGGTCCACCTGTCCCGGGGGGCCACATGGGCTGTGTGGGGTGCGCCTTGGCCTAATGGGCCAAGGGCACCAGCCCCACATAGGCCCATGCGCCTAGGGTTCAAGGGGGGCAAGAGTCCTAGGAGGTTAAGGCACCTCCTAGGTGCCTTGGGGGGAGGGAAAACCCCCCTTGGCCGCCGCACCCCCTAGGAGATTGGATCTCCTAGGGCCGGCCACCCCCCCTTGGCACCCCTATATATAGTGGGGGAGAGGAGGGACTTCATACCTGAACGCCCTGGCCTTTGGTTGCCTCCTTCTCCCTCCCCAACACCTCCTCCACCTCCATAGTGCTTAGCGAAGCTCTGCCGGAGTACTGCAGCTCCACCAACACCACGCCGTCGTGCTGCTGCTGGTGCCATCTCCCTCAACCTCTCCTCCCTTCCTTGCTGGATCAAGAAGGAGGAGACGTGGCTGTTCCGTACGTGTGTTGAACGCGGAGGTGCCGTCCGTTCGGCGCAGGTCATCGGTGATTTGGATCACGTCGAGTACGACTACATCATCACCTTGCAAGCTTCCGCACGCGATCTACAAGTGGTATGTAGATGAAAACTCTCTCCCTAGACTCGTTGCTTAGATGAACTCATAGATGGATCTTGGTGAAACCGTAGGAAAAATTTTAATTTTCTGCAACGTTCCCCAACATCAATTACTCTACCACCAAAGCTAGCAGAGTCGAAATCCTACCACACGATCTAGAGCCGCTTGGACGGAGCACGATGGAAATGTTGTCACCTTCGACCAAAGGTAAAACTTGGGTTTCCACCTGGAAAGCTCAAGATCTAAATGTTAAGGGAGATGAAGGGGCTCCTTGACGAGGCCTCCAAAGAGGGTAACAACACCCTAGGATGTCGTTGTCGCCAGCATCGACCAGGATTGGCGCTTGGCTTTCACCTAGAATTCACCAAGCCCTATGCCATTGCATCATCATGTCTGACCATCCACCCTAGCCATGATAGGAATGTGTTACATGCAACTCGCGGTTGCCCACATCCACCGCCATGGCCTGCAGACCACCACCACAACACATTATGCCATGGTTGTACCCCCCCCCCAAGCGCGATCGTTGCTGTGTCGCCACGTTGATCAACATCATCCTGCAGCTGCTACGAACCAACACCCAAAGTTGATGGAGAAAAAAAAAGTCGACAGGATCATCCCGGGGCCGCCGTCGGTTGGTCAACACGAGAGCAATCGCTCCAAAACATCACATCAATGCACCGCACACCGTAGGGCTTCCGCCACCCCAGATAATCTACGTTTGTGGACTTGAAGGGGGCTTTGAACTTATGAAAGGACACCCAGGGCATGTTTGGAACTGCACCGCTCCATCAAAATCAGATTCACGTTGAAGCAGTTTTATATAGGAGTTGCAGCTCCACGAAAGAGCACTTTATCATGTCTGGCTTCCAGCTAGCTTCAACTTCTTCAAGAATGAGAAATTCGATGGAAAGAATCTATTTGATTGGATGACATGGGGAGAGACGAAGGGGTATTAGTGGTGGTAATTTTCCTCAACCCTAGCTTCTAGAGTTTTCGGAGCAACCCCTGGAGAGCTTCACAAAAAACATGAAGTTGTATCCCATATTCTAGTTTTTGTTTGGGAGCGACATGCCATGCAGCTACCCCGTTTAATTTGTATTTTCTGGTGCTGCATTTTAGGGAGCGGAGCAGTTCCAAACAGGCCCTCATTCTTTGATATTGACAAGATTAGAGTAGTTTGTAACAGTGTTTAATCAATGGGTGGATGTGCTTATCGACAGGACCGGCAGAGAATGATTGCGAGAAGTTGGTTTAATTTAGAATATATATAATTCGAAAATGCATAGGAGCTCTCGGGTGCTACGCCCCCTATATTCAAAAATAATTAGTAATTCAAAAAAAAGTCAAAAATGCCGGACCTTCTTATGGAATCAAACATGACCAAGTATTGCACTCGTATAGGAAGATTAAATAGAAAATGACTTTTATTTTATCCAGAGTCAAAGATTTCCCAAAAAATGCTAGATACAAGTAAATTCATGTTATATTGTCGTCATAAATTTGTTTTTTTGCCCTGAAGTCAACAAGAATTATTCCTTGGCCAAACTTTTTATGTGAGTACAATACCTAGTCATATTTGGTTCAAAAATATATCCAGGATTTTTTTGACTTTTTTCTGAATTATTAAATTATTTTTGAATATAGGGGGTGGAGCACCCGAGTGCTCCTAATCCGCTTCCATATATAATTACATTTCTTCATAAATAATGAAGAAGTCCATGGATGAAGGTGAAAATGAAACATGCATGCTTTTAGATTGGGTTGTATTTTTCTTTATCAAAAACATTGTTTGTCTCAAAAAGGGGGGAATTATGAGTAAATTGCCAAAAACCATCACAATTGCGTCCGACAGTGCCAAAAACCACCGTTTTCAGAAAAGTTTGCCAAAAACATCGATTTTGAGTAATATGGTGCCGGAAACACTAAAACAACGATTGACCGCATTTTGGCCAGAAAACTGACAAAGAGGGCCCACTGTAAGTGATGACGTGTCAACAAATACTCACACGGTTAGAGTGGACCGTTATCTTGACGTACGGCCCGCATGTCACCATCTACATACCCCTCCTCGCCGTGGCTGTTCCCCGCGCCGTCGCTCGTGCCGGAGGCGCCCGGCGTGGTTGTTTGAGCAGCGTAGGAGGACACGTAGGAGCCAGCAGCACCGGCCCAGCACCGCGTCTCTCCGCTGGGCGCCGGCATCAACGACGGCGACACGAGCACCAGGTTCAGCATGTACGGGCCGCCGGAGAGCAACGCCATGTTCCGGCCGCTCGAGCCGGTGATGCTCCACGCGGACCAGTCGCCATCTGCGAGAACGTACTACGTCTAGCCGCAGTCGTGGGACGTGGTGGAGGTCCATGCCTATGCCTCGCCGCCCTCGCTCTGCAACTCGCCGGCATCGTACCTCCAAGGCTCCAAGGGCTGCGCTCGTCGGAGCCAGCCCGCCGTGGCTCACCTGGTTCCCGCTGGTGAGCGCACGCAGGCTGCTCGGCAAAATGCCGAGGCCGCTGCAGAGCATGCGGAGAGGAGGTCTGAGGAGAAGCCCTTGTGCGTGCGAGCTCTTGGATGCGACGACGTTGAAGAGGCTGGAGCTCCACCTCGCGTTTGCGCCGGGCATCGCCGAATCCTGCTCGTTCAGCACGTGCAGACAGGGACGACGCCGGAGCTTGCCAGACGGACGTCGGGCTGGGCCTGCGCGGGCGCACGCGGCGTGCAGCGCGCCATGGGGCGCCACCAGGGAGCACGCGGTCGGGGCAAACAGGATCTCGCCGAGCTCGAGCCCATGGCGGCCATGGGGCCTGCGGCGACGACGAGGGCAGGGAAGAGCCTAAAGGCGTGGGTTCGACACGGAAGGAGGGGCCAGGGACCATGGCGCTGCCGGTGGCCACGGTGGGGGCGGCGGCGGCATGGCGACGACGAGGGGCTGGCTCGCCGAGGGGCTGGCTCTTTTTTCTTTCACCTCACGGGGAAGATAAAAGGAACTTTTATTCTTTTCTTTTTTTTCATTCTATGGCAGATGGGCCCCATGTGGCAGCAACGATGACCGACTCGCCCAGCCGTTATCCCATGCCAGATGGTCCTGACGGATGAGCCCCCGCTGTCAGTTTTTCTTTGTCAAAACATGGTTAGACGTTGTTTTCAGTGCATTCAGCAAACCATTACTCAAAAATAGAATATATTTTTTGGGCAAACTTTTTACGAATACGGTGGTTTTCAGCACTGTCGGACGCAATTGTGGTGGTTTTTGGCAATTTGCACGGGGGGATCATGCTCAGAAAAGTGGGTGAACTTGGTCGTACTGAAATTTGTGAATGCTGTGATATACTAAATTGCTAATCTTCAATGTGTGCATGACTCTGAAACTTCCTACTACACCACCTTCTTTCATTCATGCTGAATAAATAAATTTATCAACCCTGCTGCGTGGTAACAACCTGGCTGACCGGTGCTTCTTCTAGTATTAACAAATTTACATGCATCCTTGTCCCCCCTGCATCGAATGAGTGCATATGCGTTGCACCTTGCGACCCAAGCAAAACACCCGAGAGCAGCACAAGCAAAGCAAGGAGTTTGCCTGGCGACAACCATCACCGCCGCCGCAATAGTTATATCGTGTCATCTTCCCTATAATGCACCCCTAACCAATCCTTGTCGCTGAAAGATCGCCAGGGGGCAGAGCAGCAGCGTCCCTGTACGCCTTATCATCAACAGCAGTTCGGCCATGCAGGCGGCCGCGCCGGCGCCGCGCCACCGCGTGTACACGGCCGTCGAGCCCCGGTGCGAGTGGGCGCGCACGGCCGACGCCGACACCCTCGCCGTCGACGTCTCCGGTGCGCATCTCACCGCGTCTTCCTTCGCTGCTGCTGCGTTGTGGGCCTATGACTTGCGTGTCTTCTGAAGATGTCTGTCTTGCCATGGTCGCAGGGTTCATGAAGGAGGAGCTGAGGGTGCTCTACAACACGAGCCGGAAGCTCAAGGTGGCCGGCGAGCGACCAGTCGGCGACGGCGTCGGAGCGCGATGGGCGCGGTTCCTCAAGTCGTTCCCGGTGCCGAAGAGCGTCCGCACCGGCGGCATCAGGGCCGTGATGGACAAGGAGCAGGCCGTGCTCTACGTCATCCTGCCCAAGGGGTCACCACCACCACCACCACCAGGACCTCCACCGCCGCCGCCACCCCCGTCATCCATGGCCGCGCAGAAGGAGCAACCGCAGCCTGGAGGCGCTCTGCCCCATGGAGAGCGGAAAGGCGACGGCTCGTCGGGCAGCAGCAGCAGCAATGGCAGCTTCTGGAGCGCCCAAGAGGACGCGGAGAAGAACAGGGCTGAAGAGAAGAACACGGCACCTCAGGAGACCAGGATTCAGATACAGGCGGAGGAGGAGATTGCCACACCAGATGCCCCAAGAAACGACGGTGGTGATGGTGACAAGAGGTGGTGGGAGAAGCTCACGCCTCTGCACGTTGTTGGCTTCATTGTAATCGTCCTCGCCGTGGTAGGAATTGGTGCCCTGTATGCAACGCTGCTGCTCTGAATCTGTATCCTGCCTGACTAACTGAACATATTCAAAAATGAGCAGACAACTTGTGGAAATCAAGGAGAAGCTGAGAGATGCACAACAATTTTCAACTCCGTTTATAACCACAGCCTGTAAACAATAAGAAACCACCCACCAAACGTAGATACAACATGTCAACACGTAGCAGTTTACCAAAGCAGGACTAACCCTAGCCAAACTCGGGCCGGCGGTATGATAAAGAATC